CTGTCTAGAACTTGTAATGCTAATTACTCTTGCCTTTACTTCTCCTTCACATTTCCCATTCATGATTCAAGGACTTTCTTCTCCCCTTAGAGACAAAAGTTATGCAATTTGGGAGTCTTTTAGATAGCCCCACTGAAGAGGTAATCCAATTGCCTCACCCTGCGTCCCTGTTCAGCATGGAAGAAGCCAGAGCGGTCGGCGTCCCTATTCCCTATCGGCAATTTGGGTAATTCCTTCAGAGGATGGCATGATAAGAATAGGAGGGAGGAATTGGCTAGGCAGTTAGGGTGAAAAAACAATTCCTTCAGAGGATGGCATGATAAGAATAGGAGGTAGGAATTGGCTAGGCGTTAGGGTAAAGACCCCAAAGAAACATAGCCAGTTTCTTGGCTAAAAGTCAGACTGTCCTTGGGCCTGTTAGCAACATACTCTGTTCCAAGGCAATCAAAGGCCAAAAATGTCAAAAGTATTTGGGAACTTGTATCTAATCCTTAAGATTTTAGGAATATTGACAACTGATTGCTGCTAGATGAGGAACAGCTGACCTTCCTAAAACAAAGACCTCTAGATAGGCTGACTAGATTCACCAGAAGAGCAAGTAGTGGGGAATGGCTGGGGGTGCCGACAACACAGCAGACAGTAGCAGGGATAGCAGAGTATAAGGGCTCTAGTTGGGGAGGGAGGCTATGGGAGGGTGCCATCTGGGAAGTGGGTATATAGTTGAATAAGATGGTTTGGGATGTTCTGTGTGATATATACACACACACCAAAAAAAAAAAAAATCAAATTTTTAAAAAATATATTTTAGGGTTACCTCTTCAGAAGGGGGAATGTTAGAGGGGAGGGAGTGGACATGGATTTGATCAAAACACTTCGTGTGCATGAATGAAATTCTCAATAAAGTTTTTGTAAAAATTAAAAAAATGACACATGATATACATAACTGTATATGCATGAAAGGGAACACATAAGCTATACATGAAACAAGTGACACATATTTAATAGCTACCACTGTTTGATAAGTCACCATTGATTATAAGATGTATTATGCTTTTAGAGATATTAAAATGCATCTTAGTATAACACTCCTCCCCAAGTTTCAAGGTATCCCGCCTTATTAACTCGGATCTTCATTGTGAAAAACTGTATGGTACAGTGATTGATTACAAGCATGAACTCTGCAACTGAACTCTGGGCTGAACAGTGCATTTACCACTTACTCTCTGTGACTGTGGACAAGCTTTCCCTCCTTCACCTGCCTGACATTCATCACCTATAAGCCCTATTTCAGAAGATTGTGGATAAGCAAATTCAAGGTCCTTTGAATAGAGCTTAGTATGTGGTAAGCATGGTGCAAGTGTTCAAACCTTCTTTGGTCGTTGGAATGCTGAGATTACAGGTATGAGCACCACACTTGGCTTTGAATTCTAAAATTATGACCAAGAATGTAAGTCGTTGGCTGGTATTTTTCAAGGCTCAATTTAAAAAAGGAATTTCCTATTATGCTCTATTTGAGCAAAGTAAGTAAGGAATTTTCCAAAACTCCAATAGACTTGCTAAAGTAATTAAAATAACTGTTAAATACTTCAGCCTCTTATGTGTGAATCAGGATTTCCTTCATACTGGGTAAGACAGAAATAAGAGATGAATGTTCCTTAAAACTCATTTATTTTTCAATGTTGATTTTGCTTTTCTTTTTAACTTTAAAAAATATTGAGAACTTCATACATGCAATGCTGATTTTTCTAAGTAAAAATTACAAACATGAACTTAAAACTCAAATACTTTTAGAATACTTTTCACTTATCATAAATACTGAGGTTTTGAAATGTTTCATTTACAAAAGAGATTCTACTATTAAAAATATTTGCCAACAGTGGCTTAAACAACCTGAGCAATTCTGAGTCCCAATAAAACATGGCAGAAAGGAAAATTTTAACACTGTGAAAATATGGAGATATGTCATAAAACATAAACAAAAGTATGTTTTGCTTCAGGAAGCATTATAAAATAAGTTTTAAAACCCAAAATAGCAGTTAACCTATGTTCTTCATTTAACAGATTAAAAACGATAGGGAAATGATTTGTCCTAAATCATGAAAGAGGAATAACGTAAGACTGATTTTTGTGTATGTGGTATGTATATATGTGTTTGTGTGTATGTGTGTACAAATGTGTGTCAGCACATGTGTGCAAGAGCATGAAAAGGCCAGAGGTCAACATTGGGTATCTTCCTTAATTGCTCTCTGTTTTATTCTCTGGGACAGGGTCTCTCACTGAACCTAGAGTTCATCAATTTAGCAAGACTGGCTATCCAAAGACTCCCCAGGGATCAGTTTTGGCCCCCTTCCCTTCCACCTCTCTTGCTTTAGCAGTTACACACATACACTGTTGTGGTTGCCTTTTTACATGGGTGCTAGGGATCTGAACTTAGGTTCTCAGGCTTGTGTGGACCAACTGAGCTATCTCCCCACTCCTACGACTAATTTTAAAAAACAAACTGTATAATTATTTTCAGCTAACATAATTTCTATTTGTTTCAGATTGTAGATATAGCACTTTCAATGTCAAGTTTCTTGATATTTCATACATTAAAGATTGCTAGCTTCTAAGATGATGATTAGTAGGCTGTCTTAGAATTATATTCAACTAATCATATTTAGGTGGGTTGAAAAATGAAACATTTGTTTTCATTAGAGAGCAAAGAAAGGCAAGGAAGATGCCTCTATGCTTAGACTCTCTGGCTACCACAAGTATGGAGAGTTAACATATCTAAAAAAGTAATTTCTACTCATCTGCTTCTCACGTGAGATGGTATTTAACAAAAATAATAAAAAGTAGAACTTAACTAACTGTCCTGAGGTTATAAAAAAGTCATAAAGTATAAAATATTTACTAATATTTTCTAATTTTTTTATACCACAATTCTACAAATAACTTTACACTCTCTGTTTTAACTTTCCCACCTCTCTCTGCCAATAGTAATACAAAAGGAATAAAACAAAAAAATTTTATTTAATAACTGTAAAATTTTATTAACTACTGTAATAAAAACTTTATTTTATAGTAGAAGGGTTGAAAAAAGTTTATATTTGGTCCTTGTAATATCAAGAGCTATGGGTGGAAGTCCTATTTAAATCTGTTTATTTAGAGCAGACAAGAGGTGAGCAAGCACTCTTCCCCAAAGCCACTCTGGAGTCATCAGTTTACCAGGATAAGAAAGAAGAGCTGGGCATGGTGTTAATCCTAGCACTCAGGCGGGCAGATCTTTGTGGGTCTGAGGCTAGCTTGGTCTACATACTGAAATTCCAGCCCAAAACAAAACAACCAAACCAAAAAGCCTCACAAACAACAAAGCAGAACAAACAAACAAACAAAAAGAAGACAACGAAAGAAGAGGGGCAAAAGTAAAGAACTTTTCAGAACTTTTTAGGGAAACATTGAGAGAGACTATAGTATTTTCACTTATTTATTTTTCAAGTATGCTTGTATACGTACTTTTGCATGTGTGTGGAAGCATCGGTGTATGGGTGCATGTGTCCATGCATGTTTGTACAGGTGGAGGTCTGAGGTTGATATCATCCTTGATGGCTCTTCCACCTCATTCATTGAGGCAGGGTTCTTCAATCAAGCCCAGAGCTCACAGATACAGCCAGTCTTGCTAGGTGGCTTGCTCTGGGGATCTCCCGTCTCTGGCTATGAAGGCTGGATTTGCTGATGGGCTGCCTGGCATTTATGTGGGTTCTAGGGATCCACATGCTAGTCCTCACACTTGGGTGGCTGGTGCTTTAACTTCTGGACCATCTATATGCCCCAGCCTACTACAGTATTTTTAAAAGACCATATAATTTTAAAGGTATTTAAATGACCAGATTGTTACTGTACAATTTAATATTGGATATTTATATAAAACTTCTTTACTCCAAATGGAAACTAGAAATGTGTAGTACTTGCACATTAGAAGGAAAGCCTAACTTAATAACAAGCTATTTGCATTTAGAACTATTATAAAAAGAGAAATTATTTGAAAGATTTCTTCAAATCACTCAAAGTATTTTTATTTGAGTAGTAATAATTTGGTTTATTATGATTGAGACAGAACTTTAAGTGTCTCCTTACTTTCCACTTAGGACTGCCACACCTACTGTGCTCCTGGGGGTGGACATGGTGGCAACAAAATTCCACTGTCGAGCCTGAGGGTCCCACCGCTCCACCGTATTCAGGTAGCTCCAGCCATCATGCCCTCCTACTGCATACATGGGGCCTTCCAATACAGCCACACCTACAAGGAGACAGGAAAGAGGCAATTTAAGATTTGCTCAAGATCATATTGTGATTAAAATGCAAGCACAAAAAATCTGAAACATAACTAATCATAAATGTGTGCTTCAGATGTTGGTCTTCCCTGAAGCTCTTTTTAGGTAGGTGGGGTTGAAATAGTACTGCAGTTCTATTCCTGAAAGTTTTAGAGTCAATGTTTTGGGGTACAACAGAGGGAAGTTGTTTTGGAACTATACCGGATGCATGCATACACTGCCACTATCTGAAACATTCTTCAATACTTGATTTAGACATAGTTGAAAAAAATATTCCTTTCCCCTCTATTACTTCAGATTCATAAATTTTACTGTAGTTAAGTTTGATATCACAGCCTATCGATATGATTAATCATCAGGGAACTGAGTCAGATTCATTTGCTAATTATTCAACAAACACCTATTAAGTTTTTACTAAGTACAAGGCACTCAATAGGACATAATAGATAAGGGCAGTGCCCCCATGGATCAATCCAATGTTTTAATTAGGAAACATTTATGAAACATGTACCAGGAACTGGTAAGTGCTAATTTAAATAATGGAGCAAAAAACAAGGGCAGAGTCAGGGAGATGGGTATGACGAGGTGGCACATGAGTAGAAGCACGAATACAAAGAGAATTATCCTATTTGTGGAGCTGTGTGCGGGAAGAGGTGAAGCCAGGAACAGCATGTGAAAAGGTCCAAGGCGTGCTTAATGCAGCTAAGGTACAGAAGGTAGCTGACAGGTGGTTGAGCGGGAGAGGATGGGGAATGAGGGACAGGTCTCACCATGTAACCCAAGCTGGTCTTGAACTTACTATGTAAACCAGGCTGGCCTCAAACTCATGATCTCTCTACCTCTGCTTCCTAAGTGTTGGAATTACAGGTGTGCACTAGCATACCTGGCTAAGCAGAGGTTTCCAAGAAGAGCTATGACATAACCACAGTCAAAAACCCTCTGTAATTGGCAATCATGGCCAAGAAGATAGAAATATTCACCACTTATGCACAACCCAAAACAACATGCTGTTTCACTTATATGTTATACATTGTGACTCAGGAGTACTGGCTATTCAAGACTTATATATACATGTATATGCATATATATTTATATGCAGTGAAATATGTACATATTGTCAATTTTATAGGAGATTTACAATTATATATATTCACAAATATACAATATGTAATTAATCAATTACTAGAAGAAGGGTTCATTTAGTTTAAGCTCTCAAACAATGGCTTTGAAAATACCCTTTTGCAGTGGAAGAAAGCCATTTTTCCAAATGAAATCTTCCTATCATTCCCACGTATGAAGGGACTTAAGTGTTTCTTAAATAAGTTTATTTTATAAAGTCAAATGTATAAAATTTATCTACTAAGTAAAGTAGGAAGTAAAAAGCTTCTGTGAATGAATAAAACAATTTTAAGTCAAGGCTTAAGGAAGACAGTTTCAATTACTGATCATTCTCCCTTGAACATGGTTTATCAGTGATGTCTTTCAAATGTGCCAGAACTAATGACAGCATTTGATGCACAATCTAGTTTGCACAAAACATCAGTGGATGGTAAATGGTGATCACCTTCTCTATACTGTAAGGATTTAACCTAAGTTAGGATTAAGTTTCTTTCCCAGTGGTGGTGGAGAGGAAATCATGCAGATGAATGACAATGATGCTGGTTTTTATGGTAAATCTAAATCTACAGGGTTCTTTCATTCTTAAGACACATTTTCCAGGCTGGAGGTATGCCTCAGATGTAGAGTGCTTGCTCTAGTACACACCCATCCCTGTGTCTGATTCCCAGAAGTGGGGGTTAAAAAAAGGACTTGGGGTGGGATGGGAGATCACTTAGAGGAATCCTCTGCTCCTCTGAGCTTTCCCCGTACCTTCCACAGTACTGATCTTTACTCCTAGACAGTTTTCATTTCTGGGAGTTAACTTTGGGGGCAGCCTCTGCTCTGTGCTCAATGTTAATACACTGAGTACAATGCAACCCAAGAGAGCTGAACTCAACTGTGCTTTCACTGCTTGCCATCTGTCTTTTATAACGACCCATTAAGTCTTTATTACAATTGCTTCAAACCTTTTCCAAACAATGATAAGTTGACAATATGGCCACAGATTCTTTCCTTGAATTTATGTTCCTCTTACAAGAGTGGGAACCTATTGCTTTGGAATCTGGGCTTGCCCATGTGACTCGTTTTTCTAGTGAGACATTAGTAAAGATGGTTCAAATGGAGGCTTGAAAGACTGTGTCCTGGGGCTTGTCTTCTCTCTCTGCTTTTGAAACTCAGTGGCGCTATCATGTCAAGGAGACTCACTCCATTAAAGACCTTACTGCCTCTGCTGCCAGCCAACATTAGACATGTGAATGAGACCATCCTATAGCATCCAGCCCTCCACAGACTCATGAAAACACAACAGAAATTACCCAAAGCAGCAGAGCTCCTACACAATAGCCAAGACCAGACATACTGACCAGCTGACCCACAGATCCATGAGCTATACTAATAATGGATGTTGCTTTATGCTTCTAAGTTTTAGCTAGATGTGACACTATAGGCCTCCTATCTCAAAATCTGGGAGGTGGAGGCAGAGGATCAGTTGTGCAAGGCCTACCTTGGCTACATAGTGAGTGTGAGGCCAGCCTAGATTCTATGAAATAATAAACTTCCTAGTTTTGGAGTGGGTTGTTATGTAGCAAAAGCTGTGTAATAAACATACATTTCAAACTCCCAATTTTATTTCTATAGTCCTCTTCTCTCATTCAACATTTTTTGCCTATTTCATTGAGAAAAGAGAGCTTCCTAAATGTACGCATCTTCAATTCATGCAGCATCAGTTCCCTCAGGATAAAGAAAGTGCCTTCCTCAACTGTGCACTCAAGCTACAGAACAAAAGGGCAAGACCTACAGTATAGGGGATCAATGTCTGCTCAGTGAGTTGTTCAACAAAAGAATGACAAGAGAAGTCTGTACTATTATATTCTCTGTGCCACCTCAAAACCTGGGGGTGGTATGTTTCAGTCACTTCTGCTTAAAAACAAGAATATATATATAAATATAAATATATGTATGTACATATGTGTACATTTCAAACCCTGCAAAACTTAGTTTATGATGGGGAATTCTACTCTTTTAATTCCGCCATACCCTGTAAGACTTCTGTTTAAGAAAAGGCCCTGCTGCATTCCCAAAACTGACAGCCTGGGGTAGTGGAGCCTTTCCCCCTTCTGTTACACTCATTTTTTAAAAAAACAAGCTAAAGACTGTGACATTGGACTCCAGCCAATGGGGAAGACAAAATTTTCTTGCATTAGGGATAAAAACCTATCAAACTTCCAGGTCCTGTGTGCCTTTTGCAAAAGTAAAATCTGCCTTGCCAAGTCACTTGCTTTGTGTGGTATTGGTGGGGGTCCTCAGATGTCAGATTTTTTTTCTAAAAGTACATATATACTATCTATCATTATTATTTTTCATATGTATATGAAGAATGCTAGTTTTAATAAGTATTTTAACCAGTTAGATGGCATTAATTGCTAACACATAGCACATATGTAAAAAGATGGCTTGTCAGACCATCCTGCTACTCTCAATCCTCTCGACACCCATGATTTCCCCTGTACTGCTTGCTGTCACAACCATGTATGTGCCTGCATTCTCTCTTCTGTTCTCAGATAGTGGGGAGCAGAGAGGGAATGCTTGGTGCTGATGTTGACTCAGCCACCATATAAGTCTTCTGCCTGGTACAAAAGGCAAAATGCATTGGAAGCCCAGTGGCATCTGCAGTTACACTTACCAAGGCCATGTCTGTGTGTGGACATAGGGGGCATCACACTCCAGGTTTTTGTTTTGGGGTTGTAGCACTCTACAGTATTCAAGGTCTTCAGTCCATCTCTCCCTCCAACCACGTACAGCTTGTCATCTAACACGGCAACACCAAACTGCAGCCTTCTTCCATTCATATTTGCTACAGGAGTCCACATGTTTGTTCGGAGATCGTACTTCTCGATGCTTGTTGCTCCTTGATAGTGACAGAAAAGTTATGTGGATAAGAGCTCCACTGGATGTATTATGACATTATATATGCAAAAGTAGAATTCTATTTTGTGTGTGTGGTGTGTATATGTGTACATGTGTGTACATGTATGAGCATGCATGTGGAGGTCAGAGGTTGACTTTTGGTGTCTTCCTCTATTACTCTCACTTTATTTTTTGAGACAGACAGTGTAATAGTAACAACAACAACAACAACAACAACGACAATAACAACAAAACCTTTAAAGCTGGTCAAAAGTATAAGATTCTCTGGCCTAGAGGAAGAACCAACTTTCTAGTTTTCCCATATCACTGGCCCACCCCTAGGAAGGTGGGTTCACCATAAGTCATGCAAAAGGGATGGGAGGAATACCTAGTGAGTTAATGAGCCAATGAACTTTTCCTGCCTGGAGTCCCCACCCCTCAATGCAGTTATTGTGGATCAGGTCATGTGCAGATATGTGGCCCTCTTTTCAGTTTTGCCCACTTTTCTGAACTCTTCAGAAAGCATAATCTCTCCTTTTCTTCTTTATACCTCTTTTCTACCATGCTTTCCCCAATGCTCTGGGCTGCCCTGAACTATCTCAGCTAAACTAACCTAACCTAAGTTACTCCATTTTGCCCAAAGTAGCCATTTCAGAAGTGCCCTTTACCCTACTTATGAAAGATACCTAGAAGGGAGAAGCAACTTTGAATTCCAAGAAATGGACTGACCGCATGCCACATGGTATTCTAATCTAGGCCAGCAGTTGACTAACCATTTATCTAAACATGCTTTGTTTACCTATAATCTAGGCCGGCAGTTGACTAAATGCTTATCTTGCTTCAGTAAACCTGCTTCGCTTACCCAAGCCGTGTTGTCTGCACAATGACTGACAGTTGATTGGTAAATTCGAAGTTTGCTATGCTCAAATTTTGCTGTGTTGTATAAATGTGATTGACCCACTTGTTCTGCTTTCTGTATTCCTATGAATATTCTGGCTGACTGGTGTTCGACTGCTTCTACTCCTGACATAGACAGCCTGGTTGGCCGTAATAAAACTTTACCTTGCTGCTTTCAATTAAGTGGTGTTAGTGATTTTTATTTGGAATCCAGCATGTAACATGCCCCAATGTTTTGGATTTCTCTACCTCTTTCTCTACAACTCCCTTCCCCTCCCTGCCATGTGGGTGCTAGTCTACCACCTGTCTGTCTGACCTCCATACAGGTTCTAAACTTCATGGCTTGTGTCTTTTTTTTCTCCCCTCCATTCCCCTCCACAAAGCAGTTGCTGAGATTTATGGCTTGCCTGCCCTGAGGATTTTTTTCCTTAAAATTCTAATAAAATTGTCCTAAAGCTTCCATTTGAGTCCATTCTTAAATTCTTTTATGAATGAGACTAAGGACCCTCTAGGAAAGACTACATTCTCCTGTGTAATCAACAGGGTCTCTCACTGCACCTGGAGAACACTGATTTGGCTAGACTCCATGACTGGTCAGGGAGCTCCAGGGATAAACCTGTCTCTACCTCCCTAGCACTGGGATTACAGTTGTGTGACAGCTTTTTACATGGATTCTGGGGATTTGAAACCAGGTCCTGAATGCTTGTGTGGCTAACTACTTTTACTGACTGAACCATCTCCATGGCCCAAAAGTGTAATTTTTTAATAAGCATTGATAACAACACTTTTATTACAGCTATGAAATCCCTGCAGGTCTGGTCCTTGTCTACTTCCATGACCTTTTCTCCTACCATTCTCCCAAGCATACTCCTAGGATTAAAAGATCAACCAGGAAAGGATTATCTGTTAAAAAGAGGCTGAGAAATGCAGGGGAGTTTAGCATCATGGAAGCCAAAGGAAACAAGTTTCTAGAAGGCAAGTCTCCTACAGTATCAACTGCTACTGAGAGGAACAGATAAAACAAAAAGTAAAAAGCTTTGGACTGAGCTGCAAGGAGATCATGAGGACTCTGGGGAGAGCTCCTTGTTGGAGCTGCTGAAAAGTGGTGAGGAAATGCAGGCAGGCAGCCTCCTGAGACCATCCTTCTGAGAGGTCTGCCTGTAAAAAGGAGCAGGGAGACAGGAATTCGGAGTTGGGTTGAAGGAGGCTTTGTTTCCCTTTTAAGACTGGCAAATGCTAGGCTGGTTTATAAATGCTAATGGGGAGGATCTAGTGGGGAGGAAGGAAACTGAAAGTCCAGGATAAAAGGAATCATAATTAATACATGAAGTTCTAGAGGAAGCAGGGAAGGGCAACAACAAAACCGGTGGGGAAGGGTTGGCTTTCATAGAAGAAGTTGGATGGGGAGTGGTCATTTACTGCCAGGAAGGACAAAGGTCAAGTACTTTGGCCACAGTGAACCAAAGAAGTGAAGGGAGTTAGGGACCAGGAGGTCTACCTCTGGAAAATTCTAGAACTCTTTTGTTTACTTTATGAGGTAAGACCAGTAGAGGTGTAAGGGGGGGGTGGGAGGGCAGGACATGACACAACGGGACACACCCCCACCTGCTTTCCAAAGTGGTTGCGTAAGTTTGGGTACAAATGCTTGACTGGATAGGACTTAACATGTATAACAGAATACATGAGATCTGGTAGGGGGTGGGGGTGAGGGTGATGGATGGGGGAAGGGGTCTAAACCGGATTAAGAACTGTTGTGTGAAATGTACAAAAGCTCAATAAAAAATAAATAAATAAAATATTTAAAAGAGAACCAACCCGCTAAAAAACCCAACTCCTAAAGACTAACACTTTGAGTCCTCTTCCGTCTTTCAAGTATCTGATTTAACTTAATCAGCTTGTTTTTTTAAAAAAATTATTTATTATTTTTATTTTATGTTTTTGAGTGATTGCCTGCATGTAGGTAAGTGCACCTGTGTTATGCAATGCCCACTGAGGTCAGAAGAGGCTGTCAGATCCCCTGGGACTGGAGTTACGGACAGTTGTTAGCTGCCATGTGAGTGCTGGGATTCGAGCCTAGGTCTTCTGCAAGATCAACCAGTGCTCTTAACTGCTGAGCCATCTTTCCAGCCCCTCAGCTCTGGTTTTATACAGGAACTGTAATCATTATGAACATTTACCCTACAGTTTTTCTAACACTGGACCATTAGAGCACTGTTACTATTAATAACCTCCCAAGATCTAGAAATAGTTTTATTCTATACATTTTCTTATAGATTTTTTTTTTTTTTGTCTTTTTGAAGCAGGGTCTCCCTGTAGCCCCAGCTGTCCTGGAACTCACTATGTAGACCAGGCTGGCCTTGAACTCACAGAGATCCGCCTGCCTCTGCCTCCCAAGTGCTGGGACTACAGGTGTGCGCCACCACGCCTGGCTCTTATAGTTATTTTTATTTACACTTCAGAATTCTAAGTTATTTGAGATTGACACAAGTCTCTTTCCATCTCTGTATTCTCATCAAATAGAATTCCTTTTACATGCTAGCTGGTTAAAAATATTTTTGGGGGGCTAGAGAGATGGCTCAGCGATTAAGAGCACTGGCTGCTCTTGCAGAGGACCTGGGTTCAATTCCCGGCACTCACATGGTGGATAACGACTGTTCGTAACTTCAGTTCTGTGGGAATCTAATGCCTTCTTCTGACCTCCATGGGCATTGCATGACATGGGTGCACTTACACAGATGTAAGCAGTACACTCATATAAAATAAAATAATAAAATATTTAAAAAATAATGAATTTGAGTAATTTTCTTTATAATTTTTTTGGCAATAATGACATTTTATTCATGTACTTTAGATTATGCATATATGTAGATTAT